AGCCCTTATTAGATACTCGATACATGTTTGAATGAGTAAACTGGAATGTTAATTAAAGCTCCTCCAGTTTATTAGGGGGACAGAAGAGCCTAATTTATAATAGAAACATTGGAATTAAAATTAATCAGCAGCATAATCAAATAATGGTAATAACAATTAAGATTATATGCTGTCCCTTAAGTACAAGGTTGGATGTTGCAGTTTGATACGGAAGGATTAACAAGTGATGGGAGAAACTTGTTGATCATTTGGTGGTAGAGAGTAACTTGATTGCTAAGGTAAAGAAGGCTTCTTTTAAGCTGTAAACTCCCTTTGTATTTTTTTAATTCGAGGATACTGTTACAGTACAGTGGGAATAACTCTAAGTGTAAGTTGCTGTTTTTATTTTAGTGTGATCACCAGTATGTCATTTACCTGACTATAACTTTCTACTCAAAATCTCTCCATGAATTCCTAAAAGTTGATGATTTTTTAACATTTGAGTATAAGTTATATTTAAAAAGTGATTATAGCAGCTGTGACCCTCACAATGTAACAATGCTAATGAGAGAGGTTCCTTTTTTTGATATATATATATATACATACATATATATATATATATATATATATATATATATATATATTAGAGGCTGTGTCATAGCCACCCCCATCACCAGCTGTCCTGAAACTCACTATGTAGACCAGCAGGCTGACTTGAGGTCACAGAGATCGTCCTGCCTCTGTTGCCAAAGTGCTGGCATTAAATGAGTGTGCTACTATACACCTGGCCTACTAGAAACCTTTGGAATATAACTGGTGGAGCAGCTTGGGATCCTGGGCAGTGGTTAGGGCAGCAGACGTGTGAAAGCTGGTCTCTTTCTAGTTGAGTGTGTGCTCACAGGTAGCCCACGAGCTTTGTGTTTCGCCCATCCATCACGCACACACTCGCTCACTCTTAGACTCACGAGAGTCGGTTGGCGTGGAGTTCTAGTTGTGGATGCCCAGCCCTGCTTCTAGACTTTTCAGTTTAGAAAGCCCACATTCTTTTCCCTAAATATTAGAATGAAATAGATTGCGGAAAGACGAGGAGAGGAGAGGAGACAAGGAGGGTCCTTCCCGCTCACTTGAAGAAATAGAAGTAGGCCAGGGGTCAGCCGGATCAAATGTGGGTGTAGACTCCTCACGCTGCAGTTTCTCACAGAAATAGCATGCCATATTTGGCCATGACATATTTGGGAAGAGAAAACCTACAGGGTAGCCAGACTCTCTTTCCTCCCAGATCTAGGTGTGTCCCCATCCAATGAGAGCTGAGCTAGCGACAGTATAGTGCTATCTACTCACTGTAGAATGGCGCCTCTTGGATACTCCCAGGTCTGAAGGTCCTACCGTACGTCTGAGTGTCCTGACGAGGAAGGACTTAGAAAAGGGACCTCGAAGGCTATGAAGGTCAACTTGGGGCTGTTGGACTCTGATATCTGGGCTGTGGGCTCTAGTGGGCAGTGCACACTCTGAGTGGGCAGAATCTCTGCCTTGGGTACTCTTGTAGAAAGGGTGTGATCGATGACTAAGGAGGAAGTATTTCTGGAGTATTCTGGCCAGGCAACTTTTGCCCAGGCTGTGGGTGGTGGGGTGGGGTGTGTGTGTGGGAAGGGTAGAACTATGTATGAATGAAAGTGTTCTTTAAGAGGACTGGATCTCTAGGCTTCCAAGCTATGATCCAGAGTTCTGAATACAAAGATACAAAGCCTGATTTGCCAGTGAATAAGTACTAGGTTGCTTAATTGCACATAAAAAAATAGACAACTGGACTTTTCAACTTCACTAGATTTATTTTTAAATTTTATAACTTACAAAATAGTGTCATTGAATTGGGATTTAATACCTTTTTTCGTAGAGCTTCTAATTTCTCACTCATGTAGTTTCTTTCTAACTTATTTAAAATAGCTGTTCTTATATGGGTGGTAGCATTGTTAGAGGGAACCTGATTAAAGGAAGTGTATTTTTATGTAGCACTAGTCCCGGTTCACTTTCCCAGTATACTAGAGGCAAGAGGAAAGCTGGGAATTGACCTCTTAGGTAAATCATCTTGCAACTCAGAGTCCTTAGATTATTAAATCTAGAGGTAGGAATATAATTACACATCACAAAAATTCATCCCATGCAGCTTTGCATAAAAAATTATCTTTCTGATTGGTCTCACGTTAATATGCAATTGTAGTTTTTACAGTAATTTAGAGGAAGAAAGAACCAATTCCGAGTAAAAGGGAATACTTGATTAGTCTATTGTATAAGAGCAATAAAAGCTAATTTACTGTTATATTACACAATATTGAAAGCTGCAAGAAATTCTCTCAGTTCTTTATTCATTAATTATGCTATATTGTAGCAGTATTAGTATCAATTATAGATGAGTTTTATGGAAGGCTTTTAAGTTGACATCTCTGAGTTGTATTTTGCCTCATGCAAATATCTTTGACATATTTTCTGCCCGATTGTTGAAGGGTAAATGAAGTGTTTAAGGCGGACTGGATGAATCAGTCACCGTAGTTTCTCTAGACAAACTCTTGTGGAAACTGTCTTTGGAATCAACGATCTCCTTAGTAACAAGTTTTAGCTGTTGGAAATACATAGTGTACTTTTACAAGTTTTTCACCTATTGATAAAAAGTAGTCCTTCTTACTTTGTCTATTACGATAGCTTATGGGAGTTTGTTTTGTTTTGTTTTTTATTATTAATTTGGAGGTTTTACTCTGCCCAGAGTTCCTCAGTTTTGTTCATAGGCAAGTAATCCACCTTTGCTAAAATTCAGGCAGGAAGTATATGTGACATGTTGAAGATGATAATTCTACCTGAGCGCTTCAGAGCGTTTTGGCGGTCCTTGTTCTGTACGTGCACAGTCATGGTTTAGAAGTACATTTGGTTTTGCATCTGTGAATTCAGCCTAGCCTTGTGCTGTGTAGGTAGATATAGATAGAATATTAAATCCAACATTATGATGGGAGTTGACAAATCAATATTGTGATCTTCAGTTTTTGGAAAGTGGTGACATTATTAGTTCTGAGGCTGCATTAGTTTCCCAGCCTCTGTAACAGAGCACCGCAGACTAATGGCTTCAGCCTACCTGGCTAGAGACGGGAAGATTTTCTGGAAAGTCTCTCTCCTTGGCTTTGACTCTAATGACCTTGGTTTTCACCTGCACTGTCAGGTTTCTCTGCATGTGCCTGCGTCCTAATATTGCTTACGATTAAGATCCCCCTTCCTTACATTATTTTACCTTAATTCACCGTTTGAAGACCTTATCTCCAATACAGTCACCTTCTGAGGCAGGAGGAGTTAGGATTTCGACTGACGCAGGAAGCCTTTTTAAACTTTGTCTTTCCCTCTTTGGATGGTACAAACGAGAACGTTCACTTGCCAGGCTGTTGATAGGAGAAAGGAATACCAGCTGCTCTGTTATCTGTCTGGTTCCATGATACATCTTCCAAGCTTGGTCTTGAGCACTCACATCCTCAAACTCAAGCGTGCTGGGCTGGCCTTCCTCACCTCGGGTAGATAGCTGTTTCTTTGCTCCCTTCTGGGCCTCTCGGTACGGGTCCTGGCCCTGTGCCTGGTGCAGGGCTGGGTTAGTGCTTGCTGAAACATGGTGGTACTCCCTGCACACTGCTCCTGCAGAAGACATCGTGGAGTTTGCTGAAGGCAAAGGCTTTTTAGTCTAATATGGGAAAGTTAAATCGTTCAGAAAGCATTCTTTGATGACAAACCAGCTCATATGTGCCCTAGATTGAGAAAGTCTTAGAAAAAAATTTGACATTGTATTCCTGTTTGGCTTTTAGTGACACTCGAGAATATTGCAGGTGCCCAGCAACTGGGAGAAATTGTGATAGCTGCAATACCCTTTTCAGGCGCATCTGTTTCAGAGGGCACTGTTACAACAAGCATACTACATGCACTTCCCATCAAGGGTTTCTTTCTTCCTTTTTCTTTTCTTTTCCACTAGCAAATGCGATGTAGGCTGAGTGTTAAGTTAATCATAGGCAAACAGAAGTGCTGTAGGGACTCACTACCTTTCAGGTCTCTTGAATGTAGAAATTTGGTGACAGTTGCACAGCAGTTCAGCTTGGAAGCCATAGCTCTCCTCCCTTTAAGACCTTCTACCTGAGAGCAGATCACCCCCCACAGGGTCCACTGTGTCTGTCACAGTCTGCATAGTTGGTGGCCATGTGGACTGTAGCCTTTGCCAGTTTGTCATCCATCTGGTAGACCTGAGCTTGACTTGTGAGTCTCGTTTAGCATGTTTCCTATACCCATGATTCCTATACTCATGATTTAGGGGAACAATTTCCAAGTTATTTGAGGGGTAGTAGGATAAATTAGGGAACCTGGTTCTCTCTCGGGGTTGGGGGGGCATTAACAGGTTCACCTTTGTGGTTTAGTTAGTGTTCCTTTGTGCTCCTAGACAATCACATGATGGGAACAAATGCCTGTATTTGGCAGAATGCTTTGCTCAGTACTCACATCAGCTCCTGTAATCACTGTAGGCTTTGCTGGGAGTGTCAGGGTCTGGTTTGGATTTGCCTTGTTGTGTTTCAGTTTTAACATATTGGATCGCTGGGGATTTCAGATGTATGAGGGTACAATTTTGATCCCAAGTTATGAGAATACTTATGAGTACTATTTAGACTTTTTAAATCTAGAGTAAAAAATCCGTACCGAGAGATAAGTAGTTGAATTAATGGTTAAATATAAATAACTGCTTTTTAAAAGCCTTGGTTCATTGGTTTCATTTCTGTCTGGATTTTTGTGACTGTCTGAGTATTTCATCATTTCGATGACAGTGGGTTTTTACTTCCCTGTCAACCAAAAGAGGATTTCGTTAATTGAACACACTGTAAGCTTTTAAAATGTGGGCTCTATTTGAATGAATGAGTTAAGGGTATCTAATAGTAATTTGGTGGAATGTGACTAAGTTGAAATCAGTCATATCAATTGGACCTTTGTGGTGTATTTGTGTCTTGATTTAGGTTGGTTGAAGACTTTCAATGACTACTTTAGAGACAAGACTCAGTATATTTTTAATAACATGGTCCTAAAGCTGAAAGAAGACTCAAGCAGGAAGTTTATGTGGTCTGAGATCTCTTACCTTTCAAAATGGTGGGATATTATAGATATTCCGAAGAAGGAAGCTGTTAAAAGGTTTGTCTCAACACTTTTTTTTAATTTAGTAATACTGAAAATCTGTAACAAATGTGGAGTTTTAAGAAGGTGAACTCTCAGCGTTATAGCTGATTTAGTTGATTTCACATCTTGTTTGCATTGATTTTGGCTCATCCTAAGACAGGGAAGCAAAGCCTCTTCACTGAAATCCTTGCGCTTACCCCCTGTCCTAGAAGTGGCTTTCAGAACGACCACTGCCCAGTTGTCTCAACATGCATGGGACATGTCTCTGCCTCTTTTCATCCTTGGAATTTTTGAAAACCATGGCCAGCATGTCTGAAAAATAATTTGTTTTCTTCTTTTTGACAATAATTTTCTCATATGAACAAAGGTTTTTGGTTTTGTCTTGGTGGCTTGACTCGTAATCCTTTTTACTGATTTGTAGGGATGGATCTTCCTAAGATTTTATTTTCTTATTAGTTCATGGCATGCAGACTAACCTTTATATAGTCAAATTATCAGTCTGTTTTCTTTGGTTGTTGCGTCTGCTTCCAGAGTTAGGTCTTCCTCAACCCACAGTTTAGGTAAATAGTTCATTTTTTTTTAATCTACTACGTTAGTATTTTTTTTTTTACTCCTTAGTTAAAAATAACCCATACTTAACGATTTAAAAGTTGGTGATTGGGATGACTCTCTGATCCAAGTGCGTTTGTTTTGAAGAGTGAGGCAGTATCAGGGATTATTTGTTTACTGTCCCCATATGGCTCTTGGTCACGTAGTCACAGTCTGGACACTGGCAGTCGTAACTGATAGTCCTCTTCTGTCCAGGGCACTGGCTCACTGAGGGTCGCGGTGCTTCACAGGACAGGACTGGCGGCCCAGGCTGCCCACCTGCTGAGCCCTTTGTACGCGTGGTGCTTTTCTGAGTTTTCTCAAAGCTCTTTTTATTATTTATTTTTATTTTATATGCATTGGTGTTTTGCCTGCATGTACGTCTGTGTGAGGTTGTCGGAACTTGGAGTTACAGACAGCTGTGAGCTGCCTTGTGGGTGGTGGACATTGAACCCGGCCGGGTCTTCTGGAAAAGCAGTCAGTGTCTTTAACTGCTGAGCCACCTCTCCAGCCCACCTCTCTGAGTTTTAACTGTCCATCTTTTTATACTGTTAGAAAGTGTCATGTTCAATGTACTAAAATATTCCCCGGCTTGGGTTTTCTGATCTGTTTCATGGATTTGGATGACATTTGTCTAAAATTATCGGAGTTTTATAATGTTTCAAAAACTGACAGTTTAAATCTTGTCTTTCTATATTGAAAAACCTTTTAATGAGTAACAATTTAATTTTCCCAAAGGGTTTTAGAATTAATTTACATTCTTTTCTACCTCATCAAGAAGTATCTTTAGATTTTAATAGGTTGACATGAACACTTAAAGATAATTTGAGGGATATTGATGACTATCATATTCATTGGGGAGTATTTTTTTCTCACTGGTACCAGGGGAGGGATTCAGGCTTCAAGGACAGGGACTAAATAAACCGGGCAGCTACCATGGTCATAGGAGAAGCCACCCTTCCTCCATAGACAAGTGCTGCCATAGCAACCAGGGTTGACAGGATCCAGTTAACACAGAGAATCTACAATCTGCAATTCCAAAGTGTTATATAATGTATCTTGCCTTTCTAACCTGAAATATTAGCAATGCTTTAGATTAACATCATGCTCTCTCTCCCTCACACACAGAGTGAGTGGGGGAGAACAGACAGACAGACAGAGAGACAGAGGTGTGTGTATACACAGAGAGGAAGGGAGAGAAGGAGAGAGAGAACGCCAAGCAGTATTCTGATTACACAGATGAGATCTATCCACCCTTTGGTATCTTTAAAAATTTGAACTCATAAAATTACAGAGAGCTGATGAGTGTTTTCTTTATTGTCAGCTCTTAAGAACTAAGACTGAAGAAGATCTGTTTATATCTTACTCATTGACCTATTTTCTAAAGAGTAAGAGAAATTTTATTGAAATTGCTTAAATTCGATGAATTCATCCCACCTGGAGTTATTTTTGTTTTCAAAATTATTTATCTAATTTTTAAAATTCATTGTTAAAATTAGACTGATGAAAGCTTTTTTATTATTTTCATTGTGTTTTGCCAGTGCTCACAACACCCAGAATGACTTTGTAGCTTGCGGGGCTTACCCTCGTTCTTTTCTGCTCTCTCTTCATTCCTCCTCCTTATTTGCCCACACAAGAGCCCTGGAAAGGAGACCCAGGAAAGGACCAGCCCAGTTTGTCTGTGGAGCTTCAGTTGGTTAAGAGTTGCATACATGTTAAATCTGTCAGCTTATTTGTACCAGATCTGGAGCATGCTCCTGGATGTGGGTGTCAGGAGGGGGACAGAGCATAGCTACTGTGCCATTGTGGCAAGTGTGTTTTCTGAGGTGTGAGGCTGTGCGGAGGATATGCGTGATATGCCTCGCATCGTGATGGACTGAGGGCGCCGGTCGGTATCCTCGTGTGCTGCCCTGCAGGACTGGCTTCAGCTCGGAACGTCATTGCCTTCACCTACTGCTCACGGGCACTAGATTGTATGAAGGCATTGCAAGTTCTTTCACTAATCGAATCAATCATCACTTTGGAGCAAATTTTATTTTCTTATATTGATATGTTTTGTTTGTTTGTTTGTGTATGTGTTGTGTGTGCACATGCGGAGATCAGAGGAAAACTGTGGGGACTGGTTCTGTCCGCCATGGTTCCCGGAGATTGAACTTAGGTCGCCAGGCTTAACAGTGAGCATCTTTGCACGCTGAACCGTCTCCCCGGCCCAAATTCTCATTTCTAAAGCAAGCGTGCATAGCAGAACTGGCGGTATTTCTTGCTACTGTTCTCTTGCCTGCTTCCTTTGTCTCCTTTTTGCTTGATCCTTTTGCTCACTCCTTCATCCGTCTGTCCGTCTGTCGCTCTGTCCCTCCTCCCACCCACATACTAGGCAGTCCTGAAAGTCAGCTATAGGGCAGGGACCAAACAGCTCTGGGAACTTCCAGACTATTGATTTTTTTCATAAGAGTCAGCCGTCTCAGCACTGAGATGGGTTTCCTTAAGTGACTAGTGTGTTAGCGTGTTAGCGTGTTGCTGTTGCTGCCACTTCGTCGTTGTCTCGTTTTACTGACAGGCAGCCAGTTTGGAACGGTGTGTGTGGAAAGAATGAGTGTGGTGGCCAGGCTGCCCGGGTTCAAATCCTGACAATTTTCATTATTTTGGGCAAGTTACTTAATTTTTCTGTGTTGCAGCGTATTTGCCATATGGAGTTAACATTGGGGTCTGTGCTGTTGGATTTTTATTAATTTTTCTGTTCTGAATCATATTTGTCAAATGGAGTTAACATTAGACCTGTTCTGTTGGATTTTTATGAGAACCGAATTAGCATAGATATGATGCTTGGCACATTGTATTTTTACTTTTGTAGAGCTGAGATTCGAACCCAGGTCCTCTCACATACTAGACAAGTGCTCTGCTACACACACCTGTGCATCCCTAGCCCGACAGACTTTAAACATTCCTAGTAAATATTAGTGGTTTCTAGTTTTGTAACTTTATTTTCCACTTAGACTATTTTTCTTGGGTACTTTATGCAACTTTTAGTTTTGAAGTCATCTTGCAAGCATTCATCTTTTAATAGGAAGTTAATTATAAATTTATGTTTCTGTTCTATCTTTTAAAAGCTTGCTTATGTAATGCTTCATTGAAGATTTTCTTTTTTACCCTGTGCTCAGATGCTTTTTAGTATTTAAAAACATAAAATTCTAAGTTCTCGTCAAGTTACCTATCTAGGTTCCTGTAACTTTTTATTGTATTCCATGTGTAGCCTGACTTCATCAACATGTGTGTGTGCAGTCGTCATGTGTGTGTGTGCAGTCCTCATGTGTGTGCAGTCGTCACGTGTGTGCAGTTGTCACGTGTGTGCAGTCGTCACGTGTGTGCAGTCGTCACGTGTGTGCAGTCGTCATGTGTGTGTGTGTGCAGTCGTCATGTGTGTGCAGTCTTCATGTGTGTGCAGTCCTCATGTGTGTGCAGTCCTCATGTGTGTGTGTGCAGTCCTCATGTGTGTGTGTGTGCAGTCTTCATGTGTGTGTGCAGTCCTCATGTGTGTGCAGTCTTCACGTGTGTGCAGTCTTCATGTGTGTGTGCAGTCCTCATGTGTGTGTGTGTGTGTGCAGTTTTCATGTGTGTGTGCAGTCCTCATGTGTGTGCAGTCTTCATGTGTGTGTGCAGTCCTCATGTGTGTGCAGTCCTCATGTGTGTGCAGTCCTCATGTGTGTGTGTGCAGTCTTCATGTGTGTGTGTGCAGTCGTCATGTGTGTGTGTGCTCCTGTGTGTGTGCAGTCATCATGTGTGTGTGTGCAGTCTTCATGTGTGTGCAGTCCTCATGTGTGTGCAGTCCTCGTGTGTGTGTGCAGTCACGTGTGTGCAGTCGTCACGTGTGTGCAGCCCTCAGCTGGACACTGCTGTAGTCCATTTGTCTTAGAGCCCCGCTGTCTGACTCCTTAGCTAGCCTCTTTTTTCGTGTTCCTCGGTGTTCCTCTTGCCTCCGGGAGCTCCTTCTCAAGGCACCCACCCCATCCCCAGTTCTCTGTAGAACCTACCTCTTCCTCACTGTGAATGCTTTGCCTAAACTTTAATTGTGTATGATTGTCAGAAGGCCAAGTATTCATGCTCATTTTTGAGTGTAAGCAGGTTTATTCATACCTGGAATTTGTTGGCAAACTCAGTCTAAAGTGCTCAACCACTCTTGCTTCTCTGTGAAATATTACCAGTTTCCTTGCTGTATTCATCACGTGACTTGTTGTGTGCATTCAGCTGTTTGCTTTGGAAATGGTCTCTCAGGCAGAGAAGTCCAGTTCTCCACCTTCTGCCCTTGGCCAGACAGGCCAGGTAAGATCTGCACTGCTTGCTACTCAGCACATCAGTTTTCAGGACTTTGAGTCGAGCCTAGGTGAGATGAGGGTTGACAGATGGTGTGTGTGTGTGTGTGTGTGTGTGTG